CTACAAATTGTTCCAATGCCATTGACATGGCCCATGGTTTGAACCACATAGTACTTGAATTAGGAGTGAATCCTAGTCCCACACAATTTATTCTCCATGCATTCCATGTGATAGTATGGAGTTATTTTTGAACATTGAAACTTTCCTCACATTGACATTATCTAAAGAGGTCTTAATGTAGGTTAATGAAACCTAATAGTTATGTGTTCCTCAGCAATATGTTGGCTAGCACAAGACAAGAGGGGCTCATTACTTTGGATGGCCAAGATCTATATTACATCCCAAGGGCTTCTGACTAGCCTTCTATTTTATATGCTGGGATGCAGGACAACCAGCTAGAGATGATTTATACAGCGTTTTTGATAGATTACACACACACACACACACACACACACACACACACACACACACACACACACACACACACACACACACAACTGACCTTAGAATCTAGCCAGAAACATTGATGCGGGTAAATACAATGATTTTTTAAGTTATTTTAAAATTAGGTTTTCTCCAGAGGATTCAGAATACCGGCTCAAGTGTTAATGACAATTATTGGAGTAAGAACTCTTAGCATTTTCCATTGCTCAGTACCCCTCCAATTTTATTATTCAAAAGCAGTTTAAGAACTGTTAGAAATCAAGGCTCCAGTCCTGCAATTCACTATTCACAGGTGTACTGCTCCCCCCCAGCAGTTCTCGACTGACATATGTTGAATTGAAGGATGAAAGCCCAGAGATATAGGATGCGTGTACAGTAATTACCAGATGTCTTTAATGAATGTCATCTATTGTCCTAAATCTTACTCCAGTATTTGTAGAGTGGAGAGCTATACAGATTTCTTTCTTCCTTATACAGAATTGTCAGAATTTTTTATTGCTTTTTTAATGGTGCCTTTCAGTGAGCAAGGAGGTTTTTCTTTTTAAAAGTTTATTTCTATAGCGAGTATTTATTTTGAAAATCTTCATGTTATACGTTTGTGGTCTGGTGTGCTGTAAATATTTTTTTATTTTGTTTATTTTAGCAAGGCTGTTCCTATGCAGGGTATTTCTTTAAGCAGGTACTGTGCAAATATGTGTGCATATTAGTAATGTCTAGACTAAAATTACTTATTGACTTGAAACGGAACATCAAATTTTATCTTCTTTGTAAATTGGAACTTGACAGTTTGGATCCTAATAACTGGATATTTTCCATCCCCCTACAGTTTTAGTTCTGGGTCAGATCTGAAAAATGGATCAATGTTTTGGTTTGAGGTAGCTGAAGTCTTGTGAGAAGAGCTCTTCCTATGTGTGATGGGCTACCATTCCCTGCCCCAAAACGAGCAATGGAGGTGAGTCCTCCAAGCAGCCTAGCAGGGCCGGCTCTGGCTTTTTTGCCGCCCTAGGCAAAAAAGCCACCCGCCTTACCCCTCCCCCCCCAGCAGGGCAGGGGAGAGCGCCGAGCCCGGCCGCGGGCCCGCAATCCCCAACCGGCTGGAGTGCCGGGAGCAGGGTGGAGAGCCCGGCCGGGGCTCTCCGCTCTCCCCGGCGGCCAGAGGGCTGGGAGCAGGGTGGAGAGCCCGTCCGGGGCTCTCCGCTCTCCCAGGCGGCCAGAGTGCCGGGGGGAGGGTGGAGAGCCCCCGGCGGCCAGAGTGCCGGGGGGAGGGTGGAGAGCCCCCGGCGGCCAGAGTGCCGGGGGGAGGGTGGAGAGCCCCCGGCGGCCACAGCGCTGGGGGGAGGGCGGTGAGCCCGGCCAGGGCCCCGCTGTCCCCGACCGGCCGGAGGGCGGCGAGCCCGCTGCAGCTCCGCTCTCCCCGGCGGCCAGAGCGCCAAGGGGAGGGCGGCGAGCCCAGTCATGGCCCCGCTCTCGGGCCAGAGTGCCCCGCCGTGCCGCCCCCCTCCAGGCGCCGCCCCAAGCACATGCTTGGTGGGCTGGTGCCTGGAGCCGGCCCTGCAGCCTAGAGAGGCTGCATGAAGTTTAGCCAATCAGGGAGGAGTTGCAGGGAGCAACCAATCCAGGACTGGCAGGCTCAGATAAAAGAGAACTGCAGGGCAGAGTAGGGTCAGTTGCTGCTGGGAGCTCAGGGGGTAAGGACTATATCAGTGGAGGCTGAGAGAACTGTAAGTATCTTCGATAGAGCAGCTGCTGGCAGGGGCTGGGGGATCAAGATGGATCGACTGGCTGGCTGCTGTGTCTGAGCAGCTGAGGGCCCTGAGATTAGAGCAAAGAAAGTGCTGGGGCCGTGAGGAAGCAGCCCAGGGAAATATAGCAGTATTGAGAGAACTTAGAGACACAACAGGAGGCTGCTTTTACAGGGTCCCAGGGTTGGAACGGGTAGTGATGGGCAGGCCTGTGTTGCTGCCACTGGGGAAGTGGCTGGACAATAGGATCATGGTATGCATCTCTGGAAAGGGAAACGTGGATGGTGGCCTACCCAGAGGGCTGAGTTGCAGTTATGGAAGCTGAGGAAGCAGAAATGGAGTGATGGTGTGCAGAACACAGATGGGGGAGTCTGCCTTAATTAGACCCCAGAGTGACCAGGAGAAGGTGCTAGTCTGGCAATAAGGGCTGCACTCCATGACACTGTTATTTTAAATTAGAATGGTAGAAATCTTGAGAGACCCAACTGTGATACCTAGCCTTGTCTGACCCCCAAACCTAGTACTCCTCTGCAACCAAATAGTGCACATCCCTGCTTTATATGGTGAAATACCCAGCTAACAAGCACCCACTTTACAAATATGGAAACTTACGTGTGTTTCTGATTACAGTGTGCAATTGTTGTTGGGTTTTTTTAAAGTGACTTTCTCAAGTAGTAACAGTAATAAGCAATTTGCCAGAAGCTGATAGGCTATAACCCATTTGCATGTACATCTACAAAATTTTGCATTACTGATGTATACATTTGTATTCCCCATTGGATGTAAATAAATCATTAGTGAATTAGGAGTGATCACCTTTGTAAAGATAACTGGAAGAAGAAAAGGAAACTCTTTTAACAAAACCTCCCAAGAGAATAGATTTACTGAATGGTATTGTGTGAATTCTTGCCATATATTTTAGTGTTTCAGCAGCAATAAATAAATTAACATATAGTCCTTTTTCTCTTTATAATCTTAAAAAATTCTCCTATTGGCATTACCACTTTTTCTGTCAGATCATTTTCTCTTTCACTTACTTTATTATAGCTCTCCCTTCTAGGAGATTTCCTCTGATCCCAATGACTCTTTTTTCCTTTACTCCCTGCCTCCTTACCCTTCACTCTTGTCTTTACAGTTCTCCGCACCTGTGTCTCTGCTTTCCATTTTTGATTCTCCTCTGTGCCCTTCTCTTCCTTGTTCCTTATGGTGTGCTTTCCAGCCTCCATTCTAACTGTGTCACTCTCCAATCTTATTTTCCTTTTCTCTCCCACCCTCCACTGTTACAATTGTTCAAATACAGAGAGCAAACCCCTACTTCCAGTCTTACTTACATTAGATTAAGAAAAAACAGCAAAACAAGGACTAGCAAATTTCTGCATATGTCTGCCCTCTAACACACTCAGTCAGCCTCATGAGTTGGCAGCAGATTGTAAACTCCTCAGACAGGGCCAAAGTCCACTGTGTATTCATACAGAAATGAGGCCCCAATTCTGATATGGCCCTCTGGAGACTTCCATCATGAAAATATTTAATTCCCATTCAAACAGCAGCCTCCTAAACTTTTAAAGTTGCAGCAGTACAGAGAAAACAAGATCATAAGTCACATACCTGCATAAACTATATTACCCTTTTTCTATCTACTCATTCCCCCATCAAGCCCCTTGCTGATGGCATTTTGAAATCAGCAACTGCTTTTTGCCCTGCTCCCATCTAGGGCCATCTCCACTGCATGATGCCACAGACTATTGGGACTTCGATGAAGCTCTGCAGCAGAGAGCAGGAGTTCTATTTTTTTTTTTAAATCTGCAATCAGCAACATTCAAGTGAGATTTGATAATAGATTCCATTTTTCCCTTCCCCTCATATTTCTAACCATTGGTAACATAGGGAGGGAAAATCACTTTTAAAAATATGAGTCTTAATTAGACTGTGTCTCTTTAAATTCTGAAGATGTGCAGAATATTTTGGAATGTGAGATACAGTAAGGTACCAAAAGTGTGATGTGATGTTGCTAAGCAACTTCCCCCCTTGTTTTAAACAAATCACACAGAGCTGGCAACAGCTGCCAGAACTCTTGGCTCTTAACAATAACTCAGAGCTGAAAAGAACCTAGAACAAAGGTCTTCCAAAATGAGCTGCATTAAATAATGGACGCTCACAGTGCCAGTAAAAAGGAGTCCCTATTTGTTAAAATAATTGATTAAAATAATAAATGTAGCTGTCTGTTAGAATTCTGTCTCTAAAATTATTTTCAGTGACAATTATTCAATATTCTTTAAAATTAAAGATATAAAACCCTGTTTAATAAATTGCTGTTTTGAAATAATGCCATTTTTCCTCTTCTGCATGACAACAAATCTGTGGGAGTGAATAAGGTCCATACCAGATGTCTGGAAACATGCTTTAGCTTATCCAAAAAAGAGCTTTATTTTTTTTTCTTTTCAAGGGTGTGTGTTCTGTAAGCAACCTTTGCCCTGCTATTGATTGTGTCATCATTTTGGCATCTTACAAGGAGAGAGGTGTTCTTCTTTTTCAGTGTCAGATTCAATAAAAGTAGGTCTGGCTTTAGCATATTAAAAACCTTCAGAGGTTAGCATATGCTCTAAATTACCAAATTGACTGGATTTTTCACAACCTTTTTCAAGTCTCTAGCTAGATGCCAGATAAAGATTTTTCTTTATTTTGGGCCTTTATTAGTGATAGCTTTTGTGAGCAATAGTTGTAGAATTATATTTCAGCAATACCTGAGTGTTTCAGTGACATTTGCTGCCCTCTGGTTAGGGGCAAAGAGTTCTAGGTAATTCACTTATGTCATTTCAGTGTATCCACTTATGGCAACTTGTCACATATTGTTTATTTCTTGCTGTGTTTCAGAATTAATTGTAAAGTGGTTAAGGTGCATGCCTACTAGCGTGTTCCTGAGAGCTGATGGAGTGGATCAAAGATATAAAAGGATCACAGAAAGGTGTTCGGTTTAGCAGAGAAACTACTATCAATGTTAAGACCCTCTCGGATTAGAGACTAAGGGTAAGAAAGTTCATTTATCAAAAAACATACATTTGTGTCAACTGTTTCACAGTTACTTGCTCAATTTCTATATTGCAGCATGAGTATAAATTACTTTTTAACACAGTGGTGTCAAACAAGATATACAAGGTGGCATTTTGGTCATTATATGTATGATAATTCGCCACAGTCTCTATTTTCTAACACATACATACCCCCATACACATAAAAAAGCAAATAGGTGATAAGCCTATAAATGTGTAAAACATGGCTTTGTTGCCTAGAGCGCACACGCTAGTATACACAGTCACATTTAAAGTTCAAGGATGAATGATCAGACCTTGTATTCCAAAAGATAAAATTCTGAACTCATATGCTCTACTATTAGGATGAACGATCAAATAAATAGTGACCATACTTCATTAAATTCCACTGGAGAATTTCTAGATAGCTTTCCTCAAAACTTTGAACACAGCATAAGATTATATGGGGATGATTTACCCATCTAAATACCTATAGATTTAAAGGTAAGTGTGTGAGTAAATTATCCTGCATCTCACTGAAAATGCAGGGGCTATTAGATGTTAATGTATGTAATATTAAGATTTATGAGACACTAGATGAAATATCTGTAGCATGTATCAGTTCTTGTACATGAATAATGTTATTGTGCCTAGGCTTGCTACTGTAATAGTAGGAAGAATCTTGTGGTGTTTACTGTGAGGTACACTACTTAGACATGGTAGGAGGACTCAGTTGTAAATTGATAAATCTTGTTCATATCCATATAAGAAGAAATGGCCAAGAACAACATTGGGACACAGCTCCTCTCTCAACATGACATTTTAAGCCAGATGCCATCCTAGAGGCTGCTCTATAAACAATAATGCCTAGAACCAGCTGGATGTGATACATAGAGCAGTATATTACCACCATAACTGGCTCATTTTTGTTCCCTTCCTTATATGGTTATCCCTGAAGAACATATTCCCTCAGCATGGTAGCTAGTGCTGCAAAAGGAAAGGCAAGAAATCATGAACTAAACTGTTCCACTCCGCAGACATGCATATACAAAGGATAGCAGAGCCCAGGAAACACTGAAAGAGCAACCTTGTAGATTTTTCTTCAAATAGACCCCTCCAAAGGGCTACAGCAGAGAGATGAGGAAATTTCCCCAACCCTGCAGCTCCTAGGAATCAGCAAAGAAGACACTTTACTCTTCAAACCTCTGATAGCTCATTTGTCGACTTCACTGGCAGCTCTTTCTTGGCTGTAGAAAATCCCCCTTCTAGTATTAATTTAGGGATGGCCAGCAGCTGAAATACGTTCTGCCATGAACAGGGAGTGTGCTGCAGAGAGTGGCAGCTCCTCTTTGGACTCTTGGCCCTGCCCATTAAACCCTCATGGCAATCCAGTGAGTGTCTTCTTTGGGTGTGTTCAGGATGGGAGAATGATCTCCACCCACAATCCCAAACAGGGCCCCACCTCTACTCAACGAAATGAAAGCAATGATAGTGGCCAGGATGGAGGGTGGGAGTGCTAGATGGCCCTCATGACTGTCTTGTAGTGTGTCTATTGAAGAAATTATTGATTAACTGTAGTTGATGCAAGTGCAGACTAGTAACATTGTTCACCCAATTGTATATTCAAAGTCCTAGGTCTGTGACACTGAATACAAACTAACCACTACATTATTGTGGTCACCTTCAGAACAGAGAGCTGGACTTAGGGCCAACTATAAAAAGATATTTAGGTGCCTAAAGTTACAGTTAAGTCTTTTGAAAATCCCAGTAGGCACCTAGGTACCTAACTCCCCTGGATTCCCATTGCCTGGGTGATTCATTTGCAAAAAATCTAATGCTGGTAGAATCATCTTGCATGCACATATACTAACTAGACCAATGAGGGACTCACTTGAGACCATACAGCAGTCCTGAGTGTTTAAAAAGTTCTTCACTTTAACTAGGTGGGGGGAAGCCTCTGAAGTTACAAGTGGGGCAGACCAAGAACAGCAGCAGGGCAAAAAACTTCTGCAGCTGTAACAGTCTTTGCTCCTGGCACTGATCTCACATATACTGATTTTATACCAGGATATAATTGGTTGACAAGTGGAGTTGCTCCTGATTTACACAGGTATAACTGTGAGCAAACTCAAGCCCTTTATTTCTAGTGTCTTAACTCAAGCAGATTGTCATTGCCTCTTGGTGTGGTCTCCCAGCTTCTCCTAACTAGCCCTCCTCTGTTTGGTTTTCAGTCAGCTCATGGACCCTCACCTTAACTTGAGTCTATCAGCCCTTCAATTCCAGGAGTCAGTCTCCTTCTACCTCCTAGCTGCTTTCTCAGAAGCAGCCTGCTGTGAGGCTATCTTACACCTTTCTCTTCCTTTTATAGCAGATCTTGTTTTCTCTGCTGGTCACAGTTGTGGATGTCTATCTCCATGATAGGCAGGTCTGGCAGCTGTGTGGGGTTATGAGGGAGCTGCTTGCCTGTAAGTAGAAAAGATTCTTCCCTTCTGTCTTTGCTTAGTATGGGGTTTGTAAAGTCCATTACTCAGCCAAGTAGACATACACATCTTCTGTCTGCTCACAGGAAGCGCTGCTTCTGGGCAACAGGGAGGGAGAGCAACTGAAATATAGCCTCTTCATTTAGCAGAGAAGGACAGAGGTGTACTCCTCAGAGCTTCAGCTCAGTGCCGGTATGTTTCATTATGGTGGACTGCCAATAAGTTCTCAGTTGAGCGCTGGAATAATTCTGGGCCAGATATCAGTCTGGCTTTGAAGTGCCAGAATTTCACAAGGAAAATGAATTGATGTGAATCATGCTCATCCAGATCTTAGCCTTTCTAAAAATCAGCCTTCCAAAAGAAAACTGTTAATGTCTCTGGAATATATCTTTCTTGGAATGAGGCATTATAAACATCTAGGAGGATATTAGTTACCCTTTCTGCCATATGTTTATACAATTTTGGTCCTTATCTGTCCCAGAAGTTTTTCAGAGTAACTTGACTCATGATTTGAATGATTTTAGAAGCTTAGAGGAAACTTGTATTCTAATTTATTCTAGAATGCAAGATAATTAATCTTATATTTTAAAAAATGGTGTAATATGTCTTAAATAGTTTGTGTGTTTTTAACTTTTTAAGTATTATTTTCCTGCTTTGTCTATTTTCTTTTGTATTCCTGATACGGTTAATCCAAATGGTTTAGTTTGTTTACAAGATCCAGCATCTGAGATACATACAGTGGTCACATATTTTGCATTAATGACAGTTTGAGGGTGACATTACATGTAAAACCTGAATGATTTGCAATTCATAACATTTTATAGCCCTTTCTATAAAGGTGACTTTGTTCCTACAAAATCCTGGCTTTCATTTCCTCTTCAAATGAATTTGCTGTAATTTGTACTTTGGCCAATGAGTAATTTAGTTATTTTTTTAATTTAGCAGCTGAAAAGAAAGGCTGTAAAGCCTCTTAAAAGGGCTTTATCAGTCTTTCAAAAGAGCGGCCTTCCTTGCTTCATTTTAATAGAAAGAAATAGTTCACATTGAGTATTAAATGTTTAGCAGATATTATATTGAAAAGATAAATATTAAGATGACGACAAATTGTATTTGATCATTTCCTTTCCAGTTGTCCAGTGGGTAAAAAGTAGTTATGAGACCAGCTAATTTTAATTATGACATCACAGTTTTAATGTATTAATAAGCTAGATCATCTCCTGTGTTTAATTTAAATAGAGAGTCAAGACACATAATTTGTACCCAGATCGAGACATTAATCCCCTCTCCCCTGAAATGTGAAGGCCATTCAGATCTAGAACTGTGCTGGTTTCAAAATTCAGATCTCAATCCTAGTTTGAATTCTCCTCAATCCCTCATAGAATCATAGAATATCAGGGTTGGAAGGGACCTCAAGAGGTCATCTGTTCCAACCTTCTGCTCAAAGCAGGACCAATCCCCAACTAAATCATACCAGCCAGGGCTTTGTCAAGCCTGACCTTAAAAACCTCGAAGGAAGGAGATTCCACCACCTCCCTAGGTAACCCATTCCAGTGCTTCACCACCCTAGTGAAAAAGTTTTTCCTCATATCCAACCTAAACCTCCCCCACTGCAACTTGAGACCATTACTCCTTGTTCTGTCATCTGCTACCACTGAGAACAGTCTAGACCCATCCTCTTTGGAACTCCCTCTCAGGTAGTTGAAAGCAGCTATCAAATCCCGCCTCATTCTTCTCTTCTGCAGACTAAACAATCTCAGTTCCCTCAGCCTCTCCTCATAAGTCATGTGTTCCAGCCCCCTAATCATTTTTGTTACCCTCCGCTGGTCTCTTTCCAATTTTTCCACATCCTTCTTGTCGTGTGGAGGCTGAAACTGGACACAGTACTCCAGATGAGGCCTCACCAATGTCGAGTAGAGGGGAATGATCACGTCCCTCGATCTGCTGGCAGTGCCCTACTTATACAGCAAAAAATGCCGTTAGCATTCTTGGCAACAAGGGTCCACTGTTGACTCATATCCAGCTTCTTGTCCACTGTAACCCCTAGGTCGTTTTCTGCAGAACTGCTGCCTAGCTTTTCGGTCCCTAGTCAGTAGCAGTGCATGGGATTCTTCCATCCTAAGTGCAGGACTTTGCACTTGTCCTTGTTGAACCTCATTAGATTTATTTTGGCCCAATCCTCTAATTTGTCTAGGTACCTCTATATCCTATCCTTATCCTCCAGCATATCTACCACTCCTCCCAGTTTAGTGTCATCTGCAAACTTGATGAGGGTGCAGTCCAAGCCATCCTCCAGATCATTAATACCACAGAAAAAAAAATCTTTTAGGGGGCTGGAGGAGGGAATGGAGTTGGAGATTCAGGTGGGCCTCACTCCACCACAAATTTTCAGTATTGCCAGCCATGAGCAATCAAAAAAAGTCTATTAAGTCCCCACAAAATCATGAGATTGGCTTAAAAATGTTATTTTTAAAAATGGGGTCTTTATTTGTCTTGTGGTTTTTGAGTCTGTAAGGTAGAT